CATGCATTTTACGCTCGAGCCAACTTTTGGTCGCTCGAGCAAGAGTGCAAAATACAGAGTGGTCACTCGAGCACAGGTTTTGTCGCTCGAACAGAGAGCAAAATTCTGGAATTTCGAGATTGCACTCCTAAGTTCAAAACTCGAATTCAAAGCTTTAAAATGCAACCCTTAGGCCCTAAAACTTAAGCAAACATGTCCAAACTTGTAAAACATAGAGAATTAAAGATCATTTCATGAAATCAAGGCCCCAAAACATGTCATTTGCTCAAAATCAAACTTGAATTGTATGTTTGTAGAACATGCATGAGTTTTTATGAATTTGACCTTCCAAAACATGATCGAGTAAGATAAATTGGCATGAAACTTGATGAATTCTCAAAACAAAGGTAAGATGGACACATGTATGAGAGACTTCTTGAAATTAAACTCAAATTGTGATGAAATTGGACATATATGCATGGGATGCTCTTCTTTTCCACTTCCTTAGCTCAATTCTTGCTTAACTTAGCTTACTTCTCTAGAATTCATGTATTGAATAACTTAAACTCAAGCCTAAGGGTTGAATGCTTACCTTAGATGTTCAATTATGCTCTAGAATGCTAATTCTTTGAGCTTGGAGGCCAAATATCCAAGGTTCCTTCCCAAATGTTAGTAATTCCCTTGCTTGATCTCAACTTTCTCTCATTTTCTTTCTTTCTCTCTCTCTCTCTCTCTCTCTCTCGTTTGTTTGTGTAGGTTCAAAGATGTGATGAAGAAAAATGGGATGAGTGATGACACATAAAGGAGCCTTATATAGGTTTGATTAGTGGTGATTAGTTAAGGCTAACTAAATGAACATTAATAATCCTAATTTAATCGTTCTGAATCGAATTTTAATTAAACTTACCATAAAATTCTAAAAATTTCAAATATCACATATACCAAGTCAATTTCATGATCAAATATCGATAAGGCCTTCAATTCACAGAACAAAGCAAAAACACAAACAGATAGCTCTGCGATGGATAGATAGAAACACAAATAATGCAACACAATGCAATTAATTCAGAATTTCATCTTAATTACTTGTTAGGCATAGTTAATCATGATTTATCGGCTAATCATAGGTCGGGGTTGTTCCAGTGGTCGTTCAAGGACAACACGACTTCAAAAAATATGGATTGGCGCGAATCTCAAACCAAACCAAACTAAACTGTGGATTCTGTGGGCAACAAGATCATAATCAAATGAGATGTTCAAATAACAATGTAGCAGTCTCAAGTAGTGGGTCATATAACTAACGATTATCCAAATCGATTGTTCTATGTGTTGTATTTTAATATTGAATGTAATGTTATCAATCTTAAGTTATGTTGTATGTCGTATCATATTTCTTAATATAAAAATGTGTTATAACCTTTATATTTTTATGAGTAAAATGAAGTAAATGATAAATATTACAATTGACATAGTTGTAGTTTTATGTAGATAGTTGATTCAGAGAATTGTCAATTGACATAGTTGCCAACAACGATGTGAAATTTAAAAACAAATACATTAAATATTATATTTTTCATATAATTACGCTAAATTTTCCTTTTAGTAAAGTTAAATAGACCGAAACTAATGCATATATCATGTAAATACAAAATAAATAACGTAAAACATACAATTTTATTTAAAAAGGATGACAATATTATTTTTTCATCCATATAACTAAAAAAATTATTGATGAAAATTAAGTATTATATAAATTAAAATAAGGGAACTCAATGTAACTGTGTTAAAATTATAGCGTTTACTATATTACGTTAAGGGAGTCCTTATCTTTTCTCAAAATTCACTTTAATATATAGGAAGGGGGGAAAAAAAAAAGACAAACAATGAGTGATGATTTGACATGAATAAAAATTTATATGTTCTAAAATAATATAAATAGTTTGGCTATGTATGTTAAAAATTGTTGAAATGAAAGGACTTTCAATCTGCCAAGTAATTGCTGAATTTCAATTTCAAATGTCATTTTCAGAATGGATTATGTAATTGTGCAACTTAAAATCATATTTTCAAAATGCGAGTTTATGATGAAATTACATGTTGAAAATGCAATTTCAACTTGCCATGTCAATACAACAGAAGTTATATCAACTTGAAATCGCATTTTCAACATGTGATTTCAACTTGCCACATCAGCACGTCGTAATCCATGTTGACCTTTCAAGTTGAAATTGCATATTCAAAATGCAATTTTAAAAGTGAGTTAGTTTCCCAAATAATTTAAAAAGTGAATCAATTCTCTAAATTATTATTTTTAGAATATTCACCCCTCCCAAAAAAAAAAACTCCAAATACCACTCATGTGCTCCATTCTTTCTTTTTTTTCCTTTCTTTTCCTTTTTACCATTTTTTTCTTTTCTTTGCTTTTTCTTTCCCTTTCAATTATTCTAATTATTTATTTATTTTACTTCCTTTTGCAGACACACCAATGTGCCATTTCTTTTTTTCTTTTCTTTTTCTATTCTTTTCAAACCAAACCGAACTCATACACATGGGTAATAGTAGAAATATCAAATTTTCTATCAAATAAATCACTAAATATTTATGTGAGACATTTAGTTATTTATTTGATAAAAAATTTGGAACCTATAGCATTGGAAAATGCTATAGACCTGAAATAATTTACCAAATTTTTTACCAAACCTCTCACATGAGTGTGGGACCCATACAAATCCACATGTGTCTAGGTCTCACACCTATGTGAGAGATTTGATGAAAAATTTGATAAATTATTTGGGGTCCCTAGCATAACTATTACGACCCAACCCCCGTCCCAAGGGATTAGAGAGGTGGCCGGCTAGTAATCCCATATTACTAAAGGCCTGCTTAACAGTGATATAAGAATAGTGGTTGGCAAAAGCCTATAAATAATAAAATATAATATCCAATGAGCTGTGAGACTTAAATGAAATCAAAATAAACTTCCATACACATATATGTACACATCTATGTTAGTCCATGTCAAACTTGTATACAAAAACAAGAACATCAATTAGGGAGTAAATCCCAATAACAAAATTAGTCAAACTAAAAGGCTTTAAAACAAAACTATTATACTAAATCACAATGTCAAAAGGGGGAATTCTACACCATCCAGAAGCCTTAGAACTTATCCAATAGGAACCCCGAAGTAAGGCATAGCAGTTGGCTTCACAAAATAGAGGGTATGTTGATGTCACTAGGTCCGGTCTTGAACTTGATCACCTATATTTACATATATAAAAGTGATGTAGAGCCCAATGAATAACAACTACGTAAAGGGGTTATGAATGATATCCTTTCAGTAATTTAAAATAGTCAATTTCATCAATGAACAAGTTTCTTAACTCAGTATGTCATAACAAGTCAATTGTAGTAGTCATACGTAGTACATCCATTAGCAGAACAGTACTGTAGGTCTTAAAAGACCACAACAGTCAATTTGATGGCCATCAATATAGTAAACAGTAGTTCTGAGAATTGGAACTGACAAAAATCCCTGTAACAATAGTAGTAACAGTAACAGTAACAGATGCTAAGGATGTCACGAATACATTTCATAAATAGGATGATCATTCATTCAATAAAAAGTACCATTTCAAAAACAGAGCATATTATCAAGCACAAAATATTTTAATCTAAACATAACTTTATAACGTTGTTACTCACAGTTGGCTCCTTGAATCACGTGATCACGGTGCGGCGTTTGACCTACACAAATACATTCAAGCACAACGTTTCAAAATACAGTTCAATCATTCAGTTGACTTTTGACCTACTTAGTTCATTCATTACTTATTCGCTAACTCGTTCCTCATCGTTCATTCATTTATTCATGTTCATTTTATGCATATGAATGTGAAATACTCATGAAAACCATGCTAATAGGGCCCGGAAGTCGGGAAAATGGAAAGAAAACAAATCGAGACTGCCTTGTAGACTACACGTGCGGTAGACCTGGCAGCTCGTGCAGTGGATTTAGTTGCTTGTGCGGAGCCAAAGCAGAATGGAAAGTGAGGAAGGGGAAGGCAGGCCGCTCGTGCGGGGCCTCAGGCCGCACGTGTGGTTTGGGTTGAGTTTCAATCCAAAAATCTACTTCAAATTTAAAGCTCAACTTTTGCAAACTCATCTTCATTTTCATGCAATTCAAAACCCCTAACTCACAAAGCATGTTGAATGAACAATTTCTAACTTCAAGCTAAACCATGACTTCAAACCAAACCTAATTTCCATGCAAAAAGGTCAAAACTTTGAATTTGAGTACAAAATCAAGAACCATGCAAATATTGAGTTCCAAACTCAAAATCCATGGAGTTTCTTCCTCCATCTTCAAGAATCATGCAATAGATCATGTGTATGAACAAGAATTCAATGAAAAATAGGCCAAACACGTTGATATTTTAAACTAATTTCTTTACAACAACAAATCCCTACTTAACCATGCGTTCATTCAATTTAGCCTTCACTTTTAAAGGATTATGAGTGAAAATGACTCAAATTCAAGAAATGATGGAGAAATTCATACTTAGAGCTGATTATTTAAGAAGATCCATTCAAATCTCTTTTGTTCTTCTTCTTCCTCTCTTTTCCTTCTTGAGTTATCTCTCTGTCTCTCTCTCTCTCTCTTTCTCCCCAACAAAACCCACTTAGTCTATATTCTTCTTCTTATTTTGTTGACTAGATTCAAGGAGTGTAATTAATTCACTAATGCTTTTTAAATCCTAGTTTCATATAAGTTTAGTCTAATTAATTGATTTAAATCAATTTTACTCATTTAACTCAATTCTCTTAACAATCCGCTTCAACTTATACTAAATTTAATCATACTACTATGAATCAGGCTCTAATTCCCTATTCCGACTCTTTACTATTAACCTTATGGTTTCTTGATTCAGACAAGTTTATTTTCTATTCTCTATACATCTGTTCATATAATCACAAGGCAAACAACACATGGCACATCATTAGCATATTCGCATATAATCAAGGCAAATGACATACTTAGCAATTAATTAAGGAGGTGATTGTTACAATCTCTCCTCTTTAGGATGTTTGGTCCTTCAAACTTAGTTACCATCTTCCGAGAAGAACATAGGGGTTAACGAAAAGAGCTCGAGATATCTTTTCTTCATATCGTCTTTCCTTTTCCAAGTTGCATAAATGCCACTGCGATTTTGCCAATCCACTTTCACCAAGGGGATATCCTTGTTCCTCAACTTTTTAATGGGCCGATTTACAATTTGAATATGTCGTTCTTCATATGTATAGTCATTACTCAAAAGCACGTGAGTAGGCTCAATGACATGAAGAGGGTCTCGGAGATAATCCTGTAATATAGAAACATGAAACACATTATGTATTTGCTCCATATCGGGAGGAAGAGCTACATGATATGCCACTGGATTAATTTTCTCAATGATTTCGTACGGTTCAATGTACCGAGGTGCCAACTTGCCCTTGGTTCCAAAACGAGTTTGGCTTTTCATTGGTGTCACTTTAATAAATATATGATCGCCCACTTCATATTCTCTATCTCGTCTTCGAATATCTGCGTAGCTTTTCTATCGGCTTTGTGTTGTCTTTAGCCATTATTGAATTAACTTCACTTTTGTGCAATGCGTTAGGATTGTACCCTCGGTTAAAAACATTGGGTGCACCTAGTGTTCACATCACCTTTCCGCTTCTCACGTGTGACGTGTTAGGATTGTACCCCCAGTTAAAAACAGCGGGTGTGCCTGTTGTTTACACCATTTTTCCTCCTCTCGCATGTGACGCGTGAGGATTGTTTACCTCAGTTAAAAAATATTAGGTGCACCTATTTGTTCACGCCACCCTTTCTCCTATCGCGTAAGACGTGTTAGGATCTCGATTGAGACCTCGGGTGTGCTCGATGGTTACATCGCCCTTCACCTTTCCTACGCGACGCGTAGTTAGGTTTGCATTTTCTTACATCCTTTCTACGTGAGACGTAGTTTGGTTTGTGTTTTCTTTGTCATTTTCACATGAGACGTGTTTATTTATTCACTTCTTTCCGTGTGAGACACGGCGGGATTTGTTTTGTTTTGATTTGCGTTTTTGTTTAAACATTGCATTCTTGTTTAGATTGTAGAGTTGTTTCATTGTTTTATTGGCATTCAAGTGTTTCATTGCATTGTTTCATTGCATGATCATAAATTAATTGTTTTATTTCGTTTGCTCTTTGCCCTTGAGTTCAATCTTTGCATTTATCTCTTGATTTCTTGCCCGAGCCTTGTGGCCTTGTCAAATGAATCGTCTCTGGGCTTTGATATTCACTCATGTCACTTTATGACTTCAAGCTCTGTCAAAGAAGGGCAACTGTAGACACCCAATTTTTGACCGCCCGCAAGGCTCGAGCGCTTTGCGCGGTACACTCAATGATGAAAGTAGTGTTGTGCATGGTTCAAGGTCTCAATGAAGGGTCCATGTTTAAAGCTCCGAAACAATACCAAACCTCCCATATTCCCACTAATTATACCTAAGAAATCTATTTTTACACATTGTGCCACCATATGCTGAGTCTGAAGCAGAAAAACAGGAGAACCCAATGAGACCTGGCTGTGGCTATTGAAGGCCGACCATGCCTTAGTAGCGAAAAACACTGTTTTGGGCAGGAGCCCGATAGCTATCCATTTTTTAAGATAATTTTTTACCCCTCCTGCTCAAATTCTATAAAAACGACCATATATCTTTGTTTTGAGGGTTGAAAAATTTCTAAAAAGCCTATACACCACCTTTAGAGCTCCTTCTTCTCATTCTTCTTGTGCAAGCAACTCTTTAAGCAAACCTACCACCTTAAACCTATATCTATACACCATATACACCTTCACACCTTAGCCTAGGAACCTTGGTTGAGCCTTGAACACCATACTTCAAGCTTGAGAGTGTGTTGAGACTTAGTTTGATTCATAAGCAAAGCTCACTTCTTTGAGAGGTATAAGCTTGCCATCCTCCCTTTTACTTCTTGTTCTATCTATTGTTATCTAGTTCTTGTAGTTTTGTGTTATTTTGATTCTCTTCCAAGTGTTTGAGTTTGGGTTTGAAGAGCTACCAAAAGGGTAGAGAGAGTTTATACTCTTTCTCACACCTTTACTTATAGCTCAAACCCTTACTTTTACACTCTTTTTCTTTGCTTTCTAAATTGATTTTCAGAGTTTAAAAAGAGGCTAAAAATCATGCTCTGAAGTCTCAAAAGTGGAGGGGTTAGTCACCCCTCCTTGTTCTTGTTTACTAACTTTGTTTTCTCTCTTTGTTGTTTAGCTTTTTAGGCTCCTTTCATGCACTTTGAGCCACTATTTTTCATTTCTTGAGGGCTGTTTAGGGGCTGTTCTAGGTTATTTTAATAGTTCATGCTTTCATTAGCTTGGTTGTTGTCTCATTAGTTTTCCTACATAGCTTGTTGTATATTGTTCTTAGCTTTTCTTTAACTAACTTCCAGGTTTAAGAACTTCATTTTAATAAATCAGTTTGCTATTCATTTCTTTCATTTGAGAGTTGTTTCAATTGATTGACGGTTATTCAAAACATGAACTAGCGATTTATGTTTAATGGCTTAATCTCTATGAAGGTTCATCGCCAACGGTGTAGTCTCTTTTTCATGTTGAGAATCACCTCCCATTTGACATATTTCTCACTTAGTGGACGTAATCTCTAGTAGACGACTATCATCTTGGACTTAATGGATTAAAGGATGGCAAAGACTAATGAATTTGGCTTAAAATGAACCAACCCACCTAAAGAAAATGAGTTATGTTACTTGGGGTTCAACTGGATGTTATGCCGAATCCATTGTGTCAAGGGTTATATTATATCAATTTATGATGTTTTGATGAATTTTGAAGCGTTTCTACCTCATTTTTTGAGTTTACTCTATGATAGGAGGGAAGGGTGGTTGTTGTTCCTTTCATTTATTGATTTTTGTCCAAATTGTACTCGAAATCATCAAGCAATCAACTTACTCATTAATGGTTTTAGAAACAATTCCAATCTTCTCTCGAGGCTTTCCCATGATAGAGAAGTGTAAAAGGGACAAACAGAGTTCAGAACACTCTGTCTGCACTGTTTTCACTTCAGAGCACAAAACAGAATTTTACATGAAATTGAGGCACGACCGGCCTTCTTTAGGCCCGACCGGGTTTTATTGAGGGCCGACTGGTCATCAATGTTTGGTCAGCAGTATGTTTTGCAGAAAACAGAGGGTAGTGGCTGAAGGTGAAACAGAATAAGCCTAAACAGACAGAGCTGTTCTTGGACATTGTCAATACAACCCTTGTGCATCCTTATATCATTATCATTGTTGTAATTAATTTATTTATTATTGTTATAATTAGTCTTATTAATTGTTAGTGTTGTAATTATCATTATTGTTTATTTGTAACTGTTATAGCTAATTTGCTTAGATAGTTAGTTCACTTCTCATGGTTATCCTTGTTGTAATAGAGTAGTTAGCTAGTTAATTCTTCACTTATTTATTCATCTGGTTTTGTAATAATTAGTTTAATTTGGACTTTTGGACTTTGATTCACGCCCTCTTGCACGAGGGCAATGATGTAATAAGTTGTATGTCTTCCAACCCCACGTTTTCTCATTTTTACTTACTTGCTTACGATGGTTAGTATAGGACATCATTTTTTAAATTAACATTCTTATGCTTTGCATACATTGCCTTGCATGCATCCAAGGCTCGGCTCATCATACCAACCCAATATCAATGTTCAAACTCATTACTTAAATATGTGCTCTATCATATGTCTTGAATGAAATCATATGCCATGCTTGTAGTCGAGCCTATAAAATACAAAATGTGTGTGTTGCATTAGTCATATTGCATTAATTAAGAGCATGCATATTTTCCTAATTAATTTGCTTTGTTTTGGTTCGGAGTACTAGGTGAGTAATTTTGTGTTTTAGCATCTTGCATTGAATTTTTGTGTTACCATGTCAAAGCATACTTCCATGAGGCTAATTGCTTAAATGATATAATTGTTTGAATGCATGTGATGAAGGCTAGTTGCTTGAATTGGAATAGTTTGATTAATGTCCATTTTAAGCCCACTTTTTCAAGTGGCAAATTCACAAAACAATTTCAACAAAACACGAAATCAAATGTTCCAAATCTTTCAAATTAGTCTATATTTGTGTGTGTGTCACATAGTAAAAATAGCTAATAAATCGGAGTAAGAGCATATAATGTAAATAAAAATCACATCATGATTAGTAAAGGCTGATCTTTGATCGGGCAAGTGGGGTGCTCAATTCATGACCTTCCCCTCTCGTACCTAAGTTCCTTAGCTGAGACACTTTGGTGATGACAGACTAATGGCCTTTGGCACGAGTCTTGGGTTTCCTAAATTTTCTAAAAATATTTAGGTGGCAACTCTAAAATTTGGCAAAGCAGTCCATTTTTGACATTTGATTCAAACATCGATTTTCTAAAAGAATTGTCGGATTTAGACTCTTTTCATGTTTTCACTGTTTCACATTGCACTTGTGAAATTAGATTCAGAACCACGGGAGTTCGAACTGTCGGGCTATTCATCTTCCGAAAGGAGCATGAAAAGCGAGCTATAGTTTCTGGCTACTCCACTGGAGATTTTAAGAACTTGACTTAAAACTCATGATGTGAAATTTTATTGTCACAACCCAAACCCGCCCCTATGGGTTTAGCACCGTAACTGGCTAGTAATCCGAGATTACCGAAGGCCTACTTAATAGTAAAACAGTAATACAAAGTACATGGGCTAGCGGAAGCCAAAACAGTAATTAAAAGATATCCAACGAGCTGTGACAGTTTGTATGCAAAAAGACTTTTTTTTTTAAAACATAATCACATTCAGGACAAAACAGTACTATACGTACGTCATATACAATCATTCAGGTTAGGGACCACGTCCCTACCATAACAATACAATAACGGTCTATACAGTCTATACAAAACGGAAACAAAAAGGGAGAATCTAAAACACCCCGAAGCAGCCTTAACTTGGCAGCACTTGGAACCCCAAGGTGAGGCACGATGGTTGGCTTGACAAAACAAGAGCTAATCCGACGCTCCTAACTCCGGTCCGGTGCTTGAACACCTACATATATATATAAACAGTAAGCTAAAGCCCAGTGAATAACATATGCGTAAAGAGGTTAAGAATGAATGCCCTTTCAGTATTGAAAACAATCGTTTATCAGTATATCAATCATTCAGTTTGTGGCTCATAATTCATGCCATAACAATCATTCAGAAACTATAATAGTCATATGTGGTACATCCAATTGCAAAACAGTACAGTAGATCTTAACAGATCGAGCAGTCAATGATGGCCATCATATTAGTAAACAGTAGTGGTTCCAAACATGGGAACCGACAGAGATCTCTATAACAGTAGCAGTAACAGTTCAGTAACAGTAAATTGCCATGGATGCCACGAATACAGTTCACAAATAGGACAAACATTCATTCAGTAAACAGTGTTAT